CGAAACCGGGATAGTTAGAATTACTAATACTTATTATAAAGTTGTTTAAAAGGCTATTAGTAATATTTATTAATATATTAATATTACGATATTTTAACCCTATTTTACCTACGCGGTTATAAATAAACGCTTTAGCTCGGGCTATTAACTTAGTAATTACGTAATTATTTAAAAATAATTAGTACTTAATTATTTATAAGTTAAGGAAATTAACGGATATAAAAAGCTACTATAGTATAAGAAATATAAAATTACTAACTATTATAAATATACTAAGAAACTAATAATATTACCTCGCTTATAGTTAAAATTAGGTCGTAGTATTTATAAACTACTTTAACTTATAGTTCTTAAATATTAAAAAGAGGCTAAATAAGAAATAGCTATATTAATTAGATAAACTTATAATATTTAATATTAAAATTAAGTTTAAACTAAATATTAAAAACTTAGTAAATAAATTATTATAAAAACCCGATTATAGTAAAAATAGTAATAATAATAAAGTAAAAGAGCTATTATTAAAAATAAAAAAAGACTTAAATAACGTTAGAAATATATAAGAGCTTTTTAAAGTTATAGTAATAAAGTATATAAAAATAAGTTACGAGAGCGGCTTTTAAATAAAAGGGATAATAAGTATTTTAAAAATAAAATTAGTAATAATATAAAAAAATAAGTAAAAGAGGTTAAGAACTTTAGCTTAAGGGAGCTCTAAGGAGTACTTTAAAAAGCGTAACGGGGCTACGAGCCTAGGGTATTAAAATTATAATATAATATTTAAAAAGCTATTTAAACCTATTATTAAAACTATAAATTATAAGCTACTCGTTTTATAAAACTCCGATATAATAAGAATACTTAAAATAGTATTTAATAAAAAGAGGTTATTAATAATAAGTTAACTACGGGCTACTTAATAAAAGGACGCTTTTATAAAAAATAAGTAGTAAATTAAAAAGAACTAACGGCCTCGCTTAGTTAAAAAAAAGTAATAATAAAGCTAGGTATATAACTCGAAAGGGTTATTATATTATAGTAGCTACGCTTACGTATTACTATATAAAGGGCTAAAAAGAGAGGTTATTAAAGTATATTATAATATACTTATAGCAGGATATTATAATATAAAGCAAATAATAGTATTACTAAAACGCTATTATTATTAAGATAGAATAAGTAGGGATATAAAAAGTTATATTAATATTTATATAACTATAATAAGAAATATTATTAGATTTCATTATAAGCTTACCTATATTAACTATACTAATTAAGAAGCGCCCTTATAACATAATACTCATTATAATAAACCGATTTATAAAATATAGTATTTATATTACTACGAGGACGACCCTTATAGCCTAGAGATTTATAAACTTCTTATTTATAAAGATCTTTACGAAGTTTAGAATACTTAAAAGGATTATTTTTAATAGGGGCTTATTATTTATAAATAAGTTTTAAATTTATTTTTATTACTTCTTAGTAATAAAGAGGCGTTTTAATACCGTATTTTACTTATAAACGGATAGTTAAATAAAATAGTAGAACTAATACTTAGAATAGTACTTTTACTATTTTTATACTTAAGATTAATTAAATTAGGTATAACGTCTTTACTTAGCTAAGTTTATATATAATAATACTTAGTACTTAGTAATTTATAAAGTACTTATTAAGGCCCTACTCAGGTTCTTATTTACTTATTTTATATTAATCTTAATAGGGACTCGAGATAGTATATAAAATATCTTAGCTAAGGAGCGTATAGCCTAATTATAAGCTAATTAAAAAGCTTTATAACCCCTTATATAAAAAGTACGTAAAATATATAAATAATAAGTTAATAAGGCTAGGATAGATATATTATATAAAATAAGTAACTAAGTATTATTATTAAGGAAGAATATTAAAAAGTAGTACCCTAGTTAGAAGTTAATTAATAAGTATCTAGGCCTATTTAAAATTAAATTAATAATTAAGATAGTAGGGGTTATTTACTAACTAGACGTACTAATATAATATAAAATATATAATATATTTTATATATCTTTACTTAAGCTATATTAATATTATAAAAAAGCCCTTTAAAAGCCCTTACTTATTAAGAATATAAATAGAGAGCTATTTTATAAAATAAAAAATATTATATAATATAAAGGGTTAAAAAAGAGGTAATAATATTTAATCCGGTAAAAGGAATATAGTAATAATAAAAATACGTAAGAGCTAGCTAAGTATATTAAAAACGTAGCGTTAATTAGTATATATAAAGAATAAGTTTTAATTAAGTAGCGTACTTTAGTTCTTAATAAATATAATAACGTAGCGAATTAGTTATTAATAATAAAAAAGGGGGTTATATAGTTATAATTAAGTAATATAAATATACTAATTATAAACGGCTTTTTTATTCTTTACGATTTATAAGAAGACTATTTTTATACGTAAAGGGGCTACTCTTATCCTTATTTTTAGGATTATTAAAGAAAAAGTAGTTATTTTATTATTAACGAATTTATAAATAATTAGCTATAAATACGGAGTATAAGTGGGGTAATTATACTACGGTTAGAATATTATTTAAATAGTATACTTCGTTATAAATAGTACGTAATAGTACGATTATTACGTTATTATAGGACGAAAACGTAGTACGGGAGGAGCTTATAGTTATTTTATTATTATTATTATTAATAATGGGGGTAAAACGGGCCTCTTTATTAGCGCGCTTAAGTACTTTTTATATATTATTAATAGTAATTTTATAGGTTTATTAAAGCTATAGAATAATATTAATAACCTAAGTAATAGTAATAATAAAGTAATAATAAAGCGATAAACCTCTAAATCGTAGACGTTATTATTTAAAATAAGAGTAGTATTCTAGAGGGTTCGTATTATAGATTTTATAAACTTAGGGACTTAAAATATTATTAACTAATATATAAAAAAAGTAATAGAGTAGTAATAGTACTAAATACTTATTATATTTTTATAAGAATAGTTCTACGTAGTATACTTTATATAATATATACTAGATTTTAAAAAAGTATTAAATAAAAGAGCGAATTAGGGGCTATAAATTACTAACTTAGCTAGTTATAGTACTTAACTTTTAGATTAAGCGCTTTATATATAACGTAAATAGGGTAGGGGAGCGGGTATACTTAGCTAACCCCGATCTTTTTAATATTTACTTTTTTTTTTTTTAATAGGAGTTTATAACGGTTAGTATAAGTAGTATATAAGTAGCGATATATATATAAAGTTAGGGTAAGTAAAGGGGATATTAAGCTTTTTAAATAAATAGCTACTACTACTACTACTAAGCGTACTTATAGTACTAATAACTAGTCTATTACTAATCGTAATAACGTTATTAAAAAGAGCTATATTTATATTAAAATAGAATTAGTAGTGAATATAGTATAACTTTAAAAGAGACTAACTTAGATAGGGGAGTATATAAAATTAAAAGATCTAAAAGATATTTATTAATTATAAAATTTACGTAATAAAGAAGTAGTATAAATACTAATAAAAACGAGAGATTATATATAATTAAAATAATTATAAATAAAAAAAAAAGAAAAATTAAAAATCGTAATAATTTAAAAAGGGGTTAATATTAATAAATAAAAGTAGAGTAACGATTACTTAGGTACTAATAATTATAAAAACGGATTATAAATAAGAGTAATTTAAATATAAAATTATAAGGCTAACTAAATTTATTATTTAAAATAAGGGGTTTATACTCGGGCTAATAAGTACTACTTTTACTTATTTTTATATTATATATTAAAAGACCTTATAAATAAGGGATTAATATAATATATATAAACTATAAGTAGCCTTTAAAATAAAACCTAAAAGAGGGAGTATTTTATTAAGCCTCGCTAATTAAACCCCGTTAGTTAAGGGATAGTTTAAGAAGTATAAAGAGGGGGACTAAGTAATAAAAGAGTAGCTTAAATATATATAAAGCGCTAGTAATATATTTTAAAAAAAGGGTAGATTTTAATAATTTATTTTTTAGACTCTAATAGTAGTTAGCCTCTATAAGCTTCTTCCCTGTGTTATATACCTATTGACACTAGCCACCTCATTTCCTCAATTCTGCATACCTAAGACATGGACACCACGTTGAAACCTTAAATAACGACAAGGCCAGGTGCTCGTTCAAGTTAATGGCTTCATTGAAGAAGAAGTTCTGATGCTCCCCACTCATAAAATCACTTATTCGGCAGACATAGAAAATGACAAAACTAGTTCTATCGTTGTGACTAGGAAGCCCAGCCTGCTCCAATGCTTCACCGCTCTCCTGAATCATGAGATTCAGGTACTATCGGGTAGGTCTAGGCAGTCTGGGACCTGGGCATATGAATATACTACTATCTAAGCCTGATGTGCGGTTACACGAATGCAGAGTGCCGGCAGGCTGCTATAGCGGTTGACTGACAATCAACACCTACCTACCTATCGTGTCTTACCCGAAGGAACAAGCAAATGGGCTGTCCAACCGAAGCTAAATAAGCCTTTTCTTAATTATACACAACTAATTACTGACCAATTCGATTATCTGCAAATTGACGCTTGTCGTAGAGGTCGGCTGCTACTGCGGCTGGGAAAGATTCGTTGTCAAGATAGTATTACATGACGCCTCGAAACCTATCTCCCTGCTTGTTGTGCCGGCAATTCGAGCGTGCATCGTTTCCAATGCCAAGAGAGGTGTGTTCTTTCAAGGTAAAGAGGCTATATCAACTTATCTCAATGCCTTGCTCGCGATTCGGTCATGACAACAGCCAATCAACAAACCTGCAAGAACACCATGCATTCACATGCTGACATCAAATCACAACCAACCACATCATTCGCCACTTTGTATGACGTGTGCGGCGCGGTGGATGAGAATCCTGTTAAAAGTACTCGAAGGCATCCCATTACGAACCCATCTCTCAACTACACATACTACAAGCCGCGACATTCACATCATGGATTCAACCCATCGCCAGGATCTGGCTCTACGACAGGGTCCCCATACCATACTCAACGGTAATACCACGGACACTTCCGAGCCATCTTGCGACTACAATGCGTATACAATCGGTTGGATAGTGGCACTGCACAATGAACTTACTGCTGCAATGGCCATGCTTGACGAAGAGTGTCAGCAACCGAAAAACTTTGTCCAGAATTCGACCGACATGAATTGCTACTCATGGGGCCGGATCGGCGCTCACTATGTTGTCATCGCCTCGATAGGCGAAGGAAGCTATGGCATAGCAGCTGCAACTAGGACCGCAGCGAGCATGGTCCATTCTCTACCACACATACGATTTGGTCTGATGGTTGGCATTGGTGCCGGGGTCCCGAGATGGGAACCTGGATATGAATTAGTCGACATTCGACTAGGCGATGTTGTAGTCAGCCAGCCTGTTCACAAATCTGGAGGAGTTGAACAGTACGATTTGGTCAAACTGAAGGCCGACGGCCAAGTTGAGCCCATCGGTCATCTTGCCTCCCCACCAGCAGCTCTTCTCAATGGGTTGACAAAGCTGAAGGCCACACAAAGACGCACAGGCTCCAAGTTGCCGAGAATATTAGCTGCCGCACTCGAGAACTCTCCTCTTCTGGCGGACAGAGGTGAGAATGATGGGGACGCGGCGTTCATTCATCAAGGATTGCAGAATGATCGCCTATTCGCATCAACATCGACACATGTCGAAAATGCAAAAGCGCAGGCTCAACCTCTCTTGCTTCCTGACCAACATCGCGAGGATACGATCGAATATTCTGACTGTGCGCTTTGCGATCCGCAACAGGAGATCAAAAGACCTTATCGAAAGGATACCAATCCAAGAATCCACTACGGTATAATTGCCTCCGGCAACTCACTCGTGAAGGATAGCGTCTCACGGGATCAAATTCTCCAGAATATCGGGACACAATGTCTTTGCTTCGAGATGGAGGCGGCTGGACTGATGAATCATTTCCCCTGTCTTGTCATCAGAGGAATCTGTGACTACGCTGATAGCCACAAGAAGGATCGGTGGCAGAACTATGCGGCGATGGTTGCCGCTGCATATGCGAAGGAGCTACTTTCTGTCATGGATGTTAGGAATGTTGAACAATCTGAGCGAGTGGATGAGATCTTGGGGATAGGTCAGTAAAATAGCATTCATGAACGGAGGGTATTGCTTTGCTCACACATGCATACACTACATACAGTCTCCCAGATTCAGACAAACACAAGAGATACCAATGAAATGTTCCACGCCATGAGTGCGAGTAATCGATCTAGGGACATTAGGTCACTGCTTTCTCCACCAGAGCCATCAATCGATCACAACACGGCCTGCGGTCTTCATCACGGCGACACAGGAAAGTGGTTTTTGGAAGGTCCGGAGTATCTGGACTGGAAAGCGAAACCCCATTCTTCGTTATGGCTGCATGGCCGCCCAGGATGTGGCAAGACGATTCTGAGCTCGACAATTATTGAAGATCTACAAAGCAATGTGGCTGTGTCTCTTTACTTTTATTTCACATTTAATGATAAGAACAAGCAGTCGCTTGATCAAGCCATTCGGTCACTCATTATTCAACTATATCATCAGAACAAGGACGCTAAAGAATATCTCGACTCAATCTTCGAACTCGAACAAAGAGTTAGCTCTACTCAACCTACGACTGACCGCCTGTGCTCATGGTTCACGGACATGGCTAAGAAAGCCGGTGAAGTCTGGATTGTGCTTGACGCACTAGATGAGCGAGACGTGGCTCATGAATATCAACACGGCCAAGCTTTGAAGGGCAAAGGGATCCTGCCTTGGATCAAAGCTCTCCTCAAGTCCGAAGTAATCAATTTCCATGTCCTTGTAACAAGCCGCCCAGAGGACGACATTTTGCATGCTTTAGGCGACAGTATACCTAAGGGCATGCAGATTCTACTACGAAATAAGTCAATCAATGCAGACATACGGGAATTCATCGAGTCAACAATTAGGAACTGGGGCGGCCCAAGAGGATGGCAGACAAGTGAGGCTCTTCTGGAAAAGGTCATAAATCACTTAATCAGGAAGGCTGACGGAATGTAAGAAAATACCCTTTTCGTTAGTATTTCTTAGACTGATCAGTGCTACTACCTAAAGGTTCCGCTGGGTGTTTTGCCAGCTGGTCCGACTTCAACAATGTGGAGATGATGAAGACATCCAAAGTACCCTCAACTCATTGCCAAAGACATTGGACGAGACTTATGCGAGGATACTGAACCAAGTCCCCAACGAGCGATGGGAAAAAACACGGAAAATTTTGCAATTTCTACTCTATTCGGCAGAGCCCCTGCTTGTGGACGAAGCGGTCGACATCATCAAAGTATCTCCCAAAGCCCAAAGACCGACTGAGAGATTTCAACCTTTACTCCGGCTAGACAGGGATCGGATTTCAATCTACTGCCCCAGCCTCGTCGTTTCTGTCACCCAAAGCGGAAGAATTGGCGGACGTACGACTCAAGTTCTCCAGCTCGCACACTTCTCAGTCAAGGAATATCTCCTTTCTGGTCGTCTGGACCCGGAAATCTCACCAATTTTTGAAGTACGGTTCGCCCATACTTTCATGGCAGAAACATGTCTCGCCTATTTGCTGGCTATCAGACATGACTTTTCACAGGCAGAGGACGAGTCTTCGTATCCATTAGCGCAACATGCTGCGAAATACTGGGCTCGATATGCTGCCAGAGCTGATGGCGACATAATCTTGTGGCTCATCAAAGAGTATCTTCATTCCGGCGACAGTGGACTATTCCGTTATCAACTTTCCCTTTTCCAACCTCTTCAACAAAGTGTTCGTATGCAGTTTGCAAATGCAGATCCTCAAGAACATGTTCCGCATTCCTTGATGGTACCCTTTGCACTTGAAGGTCTTCAGTGTGCAATCAAGGAAGTCTTGGAAATGGACACCAACGGGACTACTGATCTAGGTCGCATATATGGCCTTGCTCTACTATCAGCTTACTCACGCGGCAGAATGGACATTGTAGAAATCCTATGGGAAACAGGAGATGACGCAACCTCAGCTTCTATTATAGGCAATGCTCTGGTAATAGCGTGCACACAAGGACACTACAGTATTGCGCGTGCACTTTTAAAAAAGCGTGGAAAGATTGACGTGAAAGACTCTTCGGGGAAGACAGCAATATTTCTCGCAGCCCAAGACGGTATTACGGACGTATTCGAGTCACTCTTTCGGCGTGGAGCAGGTTCCATTGCGGTGGATTACGATCGCCACCCTCTCTTTGCTGCGTCATATACGGGACGCACCGAAATCATGCGGTTCTTCCCACTTCAAGACCTTGATGCAGAGCTTGTACAAGAATGTACGCGAGTTGCACTTCGCTGCGGTCACTATAAGGCGGCCGAGTTACTGCTTAAAACTTGCTCACATCCAAGACAATTCGACAACCTGCACAAGATCATGATTCTTCGGCAAACTATTTCCGAAGCGCGTCGACAAAAGCATGGGAACCTCGACATACTCTACCGTATTCTCCAGAAGGTGGAGAGCAAGTATCAGTCAACCAACGAGGATTACGAATAACTTCACAAGGGACATGCACGGAGAGGTCCTCCATAGTGCAATCAAAGCAGAGCGTCAGAATTGCCTGCTTTCGTCTAAGGGAGACTACCTTATGGTCCGGTTGCTAACGCAAGAATTGAGCAGTACGCGAAAACTTTCTGTTGGTTCCGCGGTTACAAGCCGGTGTGACTGTTCTCGAGACGCACATTCGGGAGATTTCGCGAGGGAAGCACGGATAGATGGAAACTTGGAGTTGGAATCCAGTCGATAATCCAGTTCGCTCATTAACGTAAGGCAGAGAATGGAATGAAAGCTGGGCTCGCACCTAGGTTCACGAGGACTAGCAGCAAACACCAAAGAATTATTTCAATGATTAGACGACTCAGTATATTAACGGGTCTTTTTATTTTTTTTTTCTTTCTCAATTTAAAAACACCAAATGATGTGACTGATGTTGCCTGTGTTGCCCGTTTCAAATACCCGTTTAAGTTTAGATTTTCGATTCTACCAGGCACCGCAAAGAACAACCGCAAAGAAGGGATACTGTAGTTTATTTCCTAATACAACTGATAAAACCCACCTACCTTTGTATGCTAAGCTAGAGTTTATTCTACGCCACGATGCAAATTCCTTAGTAGATACTGGAAACTGAATTAATTATACTCGGAGCAGCAAAGCACCTTGGATGCCCTTGACAAAGAACTTCCATTCGCAAAGTAACAAGAATACTGTGAGCTGAGGTGTTGCCTAGGTATCAAAACGAATGTTTTGTGGGAAGGAAGGCGCGCATAGACAACAATTTCTGGTGATCGAATTTTCAGCCGCTTGAGGGCCTCCTTTTCAAATCACTCAATACAACTTAACCAAATAAATGCGCTCAAAGACGTGTTAAACACCTCCGTGAGAAGCGTTGGTGCAATAAAAATGTAGAATTGCAGTACAAACGGGATGCAATTCCCCAATCATGTGGCGTTGAGGCCATCTTGACCCCCAATGACATGTTGAGACGTCAACTCGAGTTCTCGCACAAATAAACCGTGATTTTCTGTCCTCGAAACGCGTTGTGTCCTTCAACTTCCATCATCAATAGTCACTCCCACGACTGATGATCTCCTTGTTATTCTCGCGAAGCAAGATCGTCTATCATTGTCAGCCTCACTGAACCTCGCTCATCATAGCTCGTGTCGAGATTTCATAACTTACATGCTCAAATTGAGCAGACTGAGATCCCTTGATATCCGAAAGAGGTGCATATGATTCGAGAATGCCATGAGATTCCAAGGATTTGAGCTGTCAATGGAACCCAATCGTCAGCAATTTTCTCTTCTTCAAGGCCAGCATCTCAACATAATATGACACACTTACACAAGCCAAGTACCGATCTAAGCCGAGACGGTCAAGGTATCTGCGGCAGAAGACAATACTACCAAACTGCTCCTTGATCGTCTTGTACAGACGATTTGCAGAGGCAAAGGGCAACTTGACTTGAGCAGGAGCATCATAATCCAGCTTGTATCCATAGATACCGACCTATTCATCGCCGTCAGTCTCCTTTCACGCAATTCCAATGCCAAACGCATGGCAAATATTTCCTAGAAGCAGAAGTGGAAAACTCACGTCGTCAAACAACTTCCCGCGCCCAGTCGTCCCAAACGTCTCAATCGCAAAGATCTCCCCTTCCTCCATCTTGGTCTGATCATTGTTCTTGATAAACGGGATCGACTTGCCCGCATGGATCTGGTACCGCGCGATATCATGTGCGCAGATGTTGCGCACCGGCTTGACGGGGAACATCTTGCCGCCGACCTCAACCTCGTAGCTCTCCATCGTCTCCTGAATTGCGGCGCTGACGTCGCAGATGCGGACGTCGATACCGGCGGCCTGTAACACATCCACGTTAGCCTACACTTTCTTCCCTTCCCCAAGCAGATCGTAAGTGAAAGCAGTAGAGAAAACACGAACCTTGATCCCACTCTCCGTAGCAGCCTTAACCCCAGCCAACAAACTATCCCACGCCGGATCGAAACTCATCGTAAACGCACTATCCACAATCCACCCATTCACATGCACCCCAAAATCAACCTTCATCACGTCCTCGTACTTCACCACCACATCCTTCTGCCCCGGGTTCGGCGTATAATGCGCAACCTCGTGGTTGAGACAAAGTCCCGTAGGGAACCCCATCCCAGCCTTCAACGCATCACCCACCTCCAACCCCTGGTTCCCCAGCAAACTCCTCACCCCGTCCTCGATCCCCGTAGCGATCTCGAGCAGAGTCTGCTTACCGGGCTTCACCGTATCCTGAACCCACTGCCGGACCTGCCGATGAACCTCGGCGGCTTTACGGTAGTCGTTCAGGAGGCTCGGGTCCTCGAGGTGCGGGCGGGACTGGTGCCGTAACTCCGCAGCCGTCGTGCGCGCGGTGTTCATATCCGAGTCCGCACCCGTAGCCGCAGCCGCATCCCGGGCTTTGGTGTAAGCCTGCGCCTCACCGGCCGGGTACGAGCCCGAAGTGAAGAGGTCGCTCAGCGGCACCCTCGGAGGGTCAGATTGCTTCGTGGCTGTCGCCGCGGCAGAAGCCTTCTTCTTCTTCTTTCTGGGCTTTCGTTTCTTCTTCTTGGGTCCATTATCATCGTTGCCATCGTCGTTGTCTGCTGCATTGTTCAGCGATCCGGTGCCAGCGACAACTTCATCCTCGTCGCCATCGTCGCCGTCGTCATCGCCCCCGTCGCCGAGACTGCCGTCCCCGTCACGGGAGAGGTGCACGCCGCGCGGCTCCCCGCCGGAAGAAATGCCGGACGAAGTGGGCCCGCCTGAACGACATCAATTAGCATGCTACCACTTGGTCATGAAGGCCAATTAAACAAAGACAGCATTTTGGATTCATTACCATTGCCTCCTGGAATATGGTCTTCGGGTGTCTTTGAACCCATTTCGACATGAAGCCTGTCAGTCGCGAGCGCGTTGTGGAGTAAAGGCCAGCCTCAGTCGTCAAGAGTAGGTGGTGGTGTAAGTCGGCGAGAAATGGTGATCCGGAGAAAATGAGGGGTTAGGTGTAGGAGCTTTTTATGGCTGCAACATTTCGTTGGCGGTGGGATCCCGTTGACCTCGTCAATCGAAGGGCGTCGAATGGAGTTAATCCACTCGAGCATGAACGCAAGTCGTGGCGTGAGATTTCTCCTGAGGTGAGAAGGTGAAGCCGAAGTGGATGGCAAGACTAGACGACGTGGGCACCATTTCCCGAGACAGACACGGATCGGCCTTCCCCAAACATCGTTGTCACCAAAACTACCATTTGACACCCCAAACCAAATAAGATACCAGTCTCGATACTCGTTTTTAGATCGGGGATTGATGTTGACTTGCCCCATCCCGTAACCTCTCCGAACTTGGGCATGAGCTGTTCAAGGTGATGCTGTGCATCCGAGCTTCTACCTCAAGTCATCACAAATCAATTACGGAGGCGGCAAATCATGAATATGAAGAAATGGAATTCCGGCTGTCTACAGCATTACCAACCCAT